AGGTACAACACAGAAGCAACTAGCAATTCAGTAGAAAATCTGCTGAAGCCAGATGGAAAGTGGCCTGTTGTCTACCACGCAGACAGAAATACAGATTTGGAAATGAAATAGGAAGCTGAAACTACCCCAGACAGATGAAAATGCTTTTGTCTTAAAGAGGAGTTCAAAATGTGTTTAGTCTAACTGGAGAGTGAAAAGTAAAAAAATTTAAAAGTATCTCTGCAGACCGTTATGGCTTCGATATAGAGTGCATACAAGCTAAACTTCTAACCTGTTACGTGATCCACTTCCTATTAACAAAATTATTAATAAACACTCATTAAGGAAAACAGCATTAATCACATAATATGACCTTGTTTTACAGTACCTTTGTGTTGATCAGATGAAGGTCATACCAGCTATGCTCAGTAGGGCATGAAAAGTAGACTGCTGGATAGACAGGGACTTCTAAGGATTATATGTTGCAAATTCATGAACACAAGTTTCAAGCCATGTTTGATATGAAGTACTGTAAGAATTTGGGAATAATTTGGAATGCTAAAATTTATCTCAGCTAGGATTTATTCAACAGTAAAGCAAATTTTTAACATCTTAATCATGCATGATGCAGAAATGGGGCATTTGAAACTAGTGGAATGAAGGCGATTGGTAACACTTTAGTGGTTCTACCATGAAAAGCGCAAGTTTTTCTGGATAACCAAAGGGCTTACAATCTTTTTCTCTTTCTCTTTCTCTTTTTCTCTCTCTCTCTCTCTCTCTCTCCCTTTCTCTAGTTCTCTTATTCTCTTCTTCTTTCCCTCTCCTTCCCTCCTTTCCTCCCTCCCTTACTTTCTTCAATAGCAATCTTTGATCATGGGGTGTATGCCCACATAAAGACAAATTCCAAGCTCTAAAAGAAAAATATATAAATATATAAATATGTATTCCTGATAATATATAAGTATGCATTAAATTTATTTATTTATTATCAGAAATAATGTATACAATATATTTCAAGCTTTCTGCATTGTAATAAGTTTTCTTACCCAGTGAATTCATGGATTAAGAACATAAGACTGGAAAAAGTAGTGCCTCCTAATAGGATGTGTCAGAACAAAATCAAAACAAAATATTGGAATATGGAGATTGCTCTGCTGGTACTGCAGAAAGCAATTTTTTTACCCTACTGTAAATTAAGACTGTAAGAACAAAAAGTTCTATTTAACTTATAACTTCTCTTACCAGGAAACAAAAAAGGCAAGAGCTGGATGTGAATGTATTCTCATTATCTTTTCTTAGAAGCTTAGAAGAACTGAAAAATTAGGATGAGATGTTTTTTCTCCTACAGAAGCATTGTTACTCACTTTATGGCACACACACACACTGAGGGTTCCCAGACCTGACATTTCAGGTGGAATTTGGTCCTATATTCAGATACTTATATATCTACAGGAAGCAGTATAGCTAAGGGAGACCTAATCAGGACAGTGCATGGAATGACTGCAGAGAGCTAGTCATTCATCACACTCAAAAATGGCATGCGTACCTTAGAACTATACGTTATTTACAGAACATTTGCTTTAGAGTTATCTGCCTGAGGATAGACTTCTTGGAAATCTCTCATATGGCTCTCATGGTTCAGGTTCAAGCATTTTCTTTTCCCTATATGACACTGTAAGTCTTTCATTTATTGTAACATATTTAATATTGTTATTGGATATCGTAAACGCTAAAACTGTATGTCTCTATATGCTAGTTTGCCCTTAGAAATAATGAAAAACTTGAAAGGGATTAATCATTGTGATCCTAGACTTTAGCTTACATCCTAGCAGGATGTTTCTGTTAGGTAGACATACGTATTTGATAAAGTCTTATTTATTCAAAAAGAATATTCAAAAAATCCCCTCTGAATTGGGTGACTAGACTACTGGTTTCTCACTGGCTAAGAATTAAACAATTTCACATAATCTTCCCTGGCTACTTGAAAATGTTGGTTGTCCCGTTTCATCCTCTCAGAATTGCATACTCCTTCCCTTCAGTAGAAATGTGGTCCACCGATGCCCACAACAGACACTGAAGCACAGAGGCTTCACTTGTTTTAGAGGATTTATTGTGGCAATATTGTATAACATCGTTCTTCCCTGTTTGTCTCTTTGTCAGAAGGCACTATTTAACACCTGCCTGGGGACACTAACCACTTAACATCACCAGCTGCCCAAACTAATGTTTTTCACCTTTAGAGAAAATATACACTGATTTATCTCTAGGTCTCTTCTATCATACAATAAAATAATTTGTCTGTATGCTGCTTGATTTGGATTTGCTGCTTCTGGGGAGATGGCACACCTACTGTCTACTAACACTTTCTATGATCTCTCCTCACATTAGTCTTCACTCTAGAGGTTTGTTTTTGGCTTTATCTTTGATTTCCATTTGTTTTCTCATGCTGGTTCTCTGATTTACATATACATAAAATAATTCATAAAACAGCTAACCCTGGTCTTCGTGATACTCATCACTCAGCCACTTCCATGGATTGCATGCTCCAGATATTTCACAAATATGCATGAAGCCTCTTTAAGGACTTCAAACTATCACTAAAATTGAATTTTTACTCTTCTAAGCCTAAATTGAAGGTGTTTTTCACCTTAAAATAACAAAGTGGGTTTTTTTTTTCACATCAGAAAATATGAAACACCACAGAGAGCAGTGGGAGTAAAGTCTGGTCCCTTTTGGCACTTTACACACCTATAACAGAAATTTCTTTTAAATACATTTCAGCTTTCATGTTAACTCCCTATTTCAGCTTCAGGCCTGGCTACTGCAGAAAAACATAGAGGGATGAGAGGCCTGGCTGCATAGTACAATAGAAGCTGGAATATGAACATCCAGAAATAGGGAACTGGAGCAGAAACGTTGTCTTTCTGGTCTTGACTTTGGTCATTAAGAATATTGAAAAACTGAATACAGTGTTGAGGTTTAAACTGAGACTCAAATGATTGACGCCACCACATGCTAGTTTATGAAATGTAAGCAAGCTGTCATCTGACTTGAGACCTACTCTGTGCAGTACAGCCAGGACAAATATTTGCTGCTCTTAAAATAGATTTGCCACAGTGTTTCTCTATGAAAGTTCATTTAGAGGTAGCACAGCCTACTAATGCAATAAAAAAGGAGTGAAAAAAAGAAACTTTCTAAAGATTATCTAATAAAGTATACTTAAAAACAGGATGCAGTTTATTAGAAGGGTGAGTTGGTTTTCTCTTTGATATACTGCAATCTTAGTAACCAGTGAACAATGAGTTTCTGTACCTTCAGTGCAATTCATTTGCAAGGTAATTCCTGAATAGAACGTGCCCAGGAGCCTGCAGAGTGGTAGGTAGCTTATAACCAGTTACAGGTATGTGTAATGGACTGCAGCTGATAAATGGACTCTCACAAACGCTCATGAGAGTTTAACTATCCTAATGTTCTACTTTAAGGGCAAAGGCCCAGCACCTTAGATAGTGCCCAAAAAAGGGAGCCAAAATATCTTATAATTTTGACAAGTCCTGAAACCTATACCAAAGATGAGAAAAGGAAACTACCAATTATTGCCTCCTCTTCACTCAGTACAGAATATCTCACAATGTGAAACTGTGTAAGGACTTCAGGTAGAGACTTCCATATATACTCAGGTCTTCTTGCTAGTTAAGGGATTTCAAGTAACCATCTGCTAAAACGCCCCAAACTCTTTACTTGCATAGTCTTTAATTGCAATAGCTGTAACGAAGCAGGCATATACCTTTGTGCCTTTAACGTTCTTGGAGTCAAAGCCTCCATATTGATCTATTATGGAAATCAAAAAAAAACTGCAATATAAGAAGCCACAACGGGAACAGATTAGGATGGAAAAAAATGGCATATAGATTAAAATTAGTTTCTTAACAACTAACTGTTCACAGATATAATGAACAGAATCATAATTTCTGTAGATGTCTATTTCATAGCCAATTCCTGGTATTACTAAAATTTTAAAGCTGTTATTAAAATTGCAGGAAGTATCTACACCATATCCATATTGGGAAACCCATATTTGGCATTCTTAGATACCTCTTTATACAAGATCTTCCAGTAATGTTCATTACTGTAGACAGTTAACACAGATGTAATCAGTAACAAATACAAGACCTATTTCAGAAAAACATTAAACCTATTCACATCGGTGGCAAGATGGTATAAATTCTTCTTAAAAATAAAATTAAAATAAGATAAATATCTGTCTTGCAGGAAGATATTACATGATTAAATAGGATCATTCTTCAGTACTGAGACCCTTTGTGATACACCATTTTCTGTTTTCATCTACTCTGAAATCTAAAGCCAGAATTTCAGCTCATGTATTTCAAAATCACTGCAGTCAATGAGAACTCTGCACTACCGTGAATCACATCCTCTGCATTCTAGCAACAAAACAAGCATCAGCAGCTGGCTTCTAAACTTGCAACCAAATTTCTGCACCCCAGTCAATAACACCTGACCTGGAACACATTTACAGGGTTGGAAATGTTCTGTAAAACCACAAAGTTTTAATGCAGTAGTTATTTCATCTGGGCATTATACCTGACAGATTACAGAATTTTCCCCCTTATTTGAAGATTCTCAGCATTCTGTGAAGCTTCATGTTATCCCCTTTACCAGTACAAGCTTTGTCTGAAGAGGCAGATGAATTTTTTTTTTCTTTTACAAAATCAAGCGCTCTGAAAGGTAATTGCTTTTTTTAGTTGAATATATAGAAAGCATCAGTAATAGAAATATAGCATATGAAAATGTCTAATATTTTATAAGGTTTTTCTGTTTAGAAAATGAAATTTGATTTGTAAATGTTGATAATATATGTAATATTTTTCTCTATAAAGGTAAAAACAGAACAAGAGAAATGCTAGTAGTGTAGAGAAAGCAATAGTATATTAGAGCTTTCTTGTGCTACTGCAGCAACTAAGATTAATGAACAGAGAACAAATGGTTGACATATAACCTACCCATGGGAGTTCCAACACCATAACCTTTTGAGTCTATCAGGCCTCCAATCTGTGTTAGGTTACAGTTCCGCTGTGTGACAAACTCAATGGTTGTCGACTCCATTAGAAATGCATAATCAGAGGTAAGTACTCGCTGGATACCTTCTTCATTACTTTTGACAAGCACTGACTGCCTCCTGCTGCTCATGAAGGCCCACATCTTGTCGTAGGTGGAGATTTTGGATTTCTGAAAGATAAATATTAGACGCAACATTAATAACAATATTATGCTTTTAAGAGTGAAAGCAAATTCTCAGTTGCACATTATTCTCTTCTATTTTACCATACGTGTCAGGTTTTACCAAGAGAGTTCTGTGAGGGTGCCTACAGCTTTCATCTCTTCTCTGGAAAACAAAATGGCTAGATAAATTCTCCAAAATTTGCATCATATTTGTTGGTCATGAGATTCTGGGATGAAGTCCTAGAATTATTTGAAGTCAGTGGAATACTAGTTTTCCATTCAAAAGCTGACAAGGCAAAAGTCCCCAATCTGTTTGCTGCTTTGAATATTCCCAGAAAGCAAAGAAGTATTCTATAATGTAGGAGACAGAGGACAGGGATGAAGGAAACAAAAAAGTGCAAAGTGCCGTGGTGCAACTATGGAGGAGTTACTTCCTTTCTCTGCACTTCAGTTTCTTCTTTTTAAAAAAAAGCTGTCACCTTCCCTCATCTTTGTAGAACAGGATGCTTAAGAGATGACAACCACTAGGGCAATGACATTTTCATATTACAATTGCCCCCATCCATTCAATAATATTTCAAACTCAGATGAGTTAGAAAATATTCAGTAATGTTAATCTTGCCTGGTAAATAAAGTGCAGAAATACAGCATGGAAGACTAGTATAATCAGACGTTTTAAGGAGTCTTTCATCCTTTAATGTCAGCTTTAAACATAACTTTGCCTTCAGCTCTGGGGGAGATACTAAACAAAGATTGACACTACAAACCTTTCTGAAGTTCAGCTGAGTGGCAGCCATAAATTCTGCCCCAGAGGAGAATTAGTAGCATATGTAGAATAAAAAGGGGAACATTTATTTAGAAAAAAAGATGACTTTGTTCCCCTGCTGCGATACAATCCAAGACTTATTTCCCTCTGCCTCGGGACTTAGCAAATCAAGTGTTTGAACTAACTACAGCTAACAAAACTGAAGACTTTTAGGACCATGCATGAGCACATTGTTACTGTGCTGAACATGGTATGTAAGTGATTGAAGAAGATTTTAGTAATAGTGAGGAGGAAAAAGATTTTTCTTCAGAATATAATGAGAATGTGTAGAAGAGGGAGGACCAAACAAATATGTTCTCTACTCATAGGTTTGCGTCTGAAAAATCAAATAATTCTTGCAAGCACTTGATATTACACTGAAGCCAAACATACTTTAAGCACTACACATCAGTTCTATAGGAATCCAAATGATTACGTCATACAGAAAGGATGGAAAATTAATGTTTTCCAATACTTGAAAATTCTGCCAAGCACCTGTATCACCATTTAATTTCTTTTTTTATTATGTACTCTATACCCCAACAAACAAAACAATAATTTTAGCTACTGTGAAATACTTTGAACAATATCAAAATTTGGCAGAGAAAACAATTTGGTAAACTGTTAGATACATTGCTGATGCATATTGAGGAAAATAAGAATAAATCAACTGAGCTGTAATAGAAAATAAAGCAAGAATGAACTACAATACAGAATGAAGTATTTATGCACTGAGGTTGCAAAAATCATCATCAGGATGGAAACATGTTAGAAATGGGAATGTTTGTTCTCTATTGTACCATTACAGCATGTGAAAAAATACAATATCCTCTAAAGGACAGAGAGTGTTCATACTATCATGACTGATTTAATCATCTAGGACAAAGTCACGGTTACTATTGAAAAGGAAGTAACACTTGCGAGGACAAAGGCCACAAACAAAAGAAAAGAAAGGAAAGCTTCCGCTTGGGATAGCATGTTTGCTGGAATAATTGAAACAAAAATCATATCAAAATTTACATTTGATTTGTGAGACTGTAGAAGGCAAGGTAAAGCCTAGAAAATTAGTGCACAGGGCCCTCCACTGTTATGCTATGAAGTAGGAAGGACACAGTGACCTCTCACAATTTTCTCATGTAGACCAAATGCTGCAATGCCCTTGCACTTTTTTCTCCCATTTCTAAAAGATAAAGTTCAGAACTGAAATTATGCCAAGGAAAACAGACCATATACTCGTAACTACTAAATCATTAAATTTTAAGCTGTAGTTTAGCAGTTCTTACAAAAACATAATGCATATTTGTTTTATGTACAACAGAGAGTGATTTGCCTGAGGGGAAAAAAATAGTTTAGATTCAGGGAAATACAACCACAAATGTTTTTCCTGTGTTTGACAAACTACTGAGCAGATTCAACAGACTTAAAATCAAGAAGCCAGAACAATTGAAAGCGTCAGGAGCCTGTTTGACATTAAACTAAAGAAAATTACACTCCAATATGTACATATTGCTTCTGGTGGTTATGACTGTGTCATTCATACTGATAGAAGCAGATGCTGCGATTTATATTACGTTTCCATCTTCTCTGCGTGCAAATCAGTCCGGTTAATCAACTTATATACTCCATCAATGAAGTGTATTGTTTTATCTGGGTTAGTTCACCATATTGTCTGATCTAACTGGAAATCACTGTCTGGAAAGTCAAACTAACTTGAAATCAACTGGAAATGATGTCTGTATAAGATAACTTGTGATGACATGATTTATTACGCTTGTGTTCTCTCAGTAATGCTGAAGATAGGAAAGCTGCCTATGCTTTGTAACATTTGAATTTCACTGGACTGCAAGAGAACTAACTAACAGGAAAGTTGGAATTGAAGCAGTTAAGCAAATCAAGAAGCTCATCCATCTGATGCGTAAAATGGCAGCTCTGACAGTGACATTCAGAGGATGCTGTCAGTGACATACTCAGCATTTCTAAGCTAAAGATTGCTGGAAGACAACTGTGCATGTCAGAGATCATGGCAAAAGGCTCTAAATTAGTCTAGTGCAAAGTATATCTATGAGGCTGGAAACAGGAGGAATCATTGTTAGTAATATGTTACTGCTCTACCCTGAAATACCGGCTAGGAAGGACAAATGTCTGAGCAGTGAGACTCTGGAGCACAAGGTTAGAAAAATATCAGACTGTTGGATGAACACCAAAATAAACAAAGACTAAAGGACAGGGAAGCAGACCTTATGATACAAGACAAGATAGGATAAATGCATAGCAAAAAATGTGCCAGGCAAATTCTGACATTTTTGTACAAAGGACTGTACAGAATCCTCTTTTACAAATACATTGATGGAGAATTTTCTTTTACCACTATCATCCAACTTCTTTCCTGGCTTCTGAAGGCACTTGGGTGTCATAGGTAATGCCTCAGCTATGCCTGCATCCATGCAATGTCTTAATTGAAAAGGAGTTGCAATAACAAAGGAAAGACTAAAGGTAATTAGGTTATAATCTGAATTTCTGAGGGGAAAAATAAGAAAAAAATCTGAAGCCTATTTCTTATATATTTTATTAAAAGTGCTCTCCATCAGAAAAGAATTAAACTATGACATTCTTTATTTAAAGAAAAAGAAAATAGACTCCCAAACTTAGCGTATATAACAATGATGATAGCTGCCCACATAATACATTTAATTTATTCATTCCCTATTCATTTTTATAAATTTGATGTTTTGTTTTGACAGATACCCTAAACCTACACAGCTCTGTATAAACTGGAAAATACACTTCAATGTTGTTAGTAACAGTGAAAGCACATGTGTATCTCAATAAATCTTGCTACACATGTCAAATTTAAGTGAGCTACAGATTATAAAAAAATCTTCTTATGGTCCACAGCTGCTCTAACACACTTGGAATATGTCTCAAAAAATCTAGCCCACTGAGAATTGGTACAATTGATGGAGAAACAAAGTTAATTAATTGAATACATTTCAAATTGTAGTATGACAAGCTTAAGGCTGAGAGAGAAAATCAGTAGTTTAAGATAAGAACATTTCAGAAATGCTGTAGTTGTCATCAAGTATTATAAATACAGGGAAATTCGAAGATAAGACTACTTGAAAGAATTTGAACACTCATGTAAATGAAAATAAATGGCAAATACACACATTTGGCCTAATCTCTTTCGTGTACTATCAGGAAATCAAAATATGTAAAGGCTGACTGCTGCTGTTCTGATATCTATCAATGATCAATGTTATGTTTTTTCCTTGTGTGTTTTTTGTATTTCTCATTTTCGTTATTCATATCCACCTACATCCATTGTCTCCTAGTTTTCAATAAGTCTCCAAATTCTTTTGAGCAGGCACTGTTTTCTCCAGAGAGTTCAAAGTTTCTGAAGTGGGCAACAATGGGATCCTGGTCCATTATTTGACTTTTGATCTCAACGTGAATACATGTAAATAATGGTAAATATCAGAAGCAACTACATGAATCAGAATGGAAGATATCATATATTATTTATTTTTTAGCTTTTCGCAGTATCAGTGCATCTCCTGTTTCCAGATATTTCTTTGTTTTAAATAATTAATTTAAAATAGTTATAATTGCGAGACCAATTATAGCTTTAGTTGAATACCTTAGCTAATTGCACACTCCAAAATCTAATGCTATTTTTCTGAGGGAGCAGAAGCAGTGTATTTACCTATTTTAACATAGCTGACTGCATTTAAGGTAAAATGTAATTTGGTCTTAGTTGCATATCTGCACCTGATGCTTCCATAATATGCTATGATGCCACAGAAATTCCAAACACTGCACTCACTGCTATGTGCAACATGCAGTTTTGAATCATTACTATAGGATAAGGCATAGCTTTTACAGAGCACTGCGTTAATCGCTGACATCTTATAGTATACTTAAGTATACTGAAAGCATTGCACACTCCTCCACCTGTGCCAGATAGCAGACCAGACTTAAATCAGCTTAACTATCTATCTTCTATGACCAAACAGACAGATTGTGTCAATACAAGCGAACTTCTACGTGTCATCTGATCTTCTGACTAGATTATTACTGGTTATAACAATTTGCAAATGACCTTTATAGTCATGTATATTTTTTTATGTCTCCTAGAACTGTGAGACTGGCATTTCCTCAGTCATCAAATAAAAGTATAAAAGATACCCTTTCTTTTTTATCA